AAAAAAAAAAAGAAGAAGAAGAAGAAGGAAAAGAAGATCATAGATACAGAGAACAGATTGGGGTTGCCAAAGGCAGGGTCTGGGAGAAATGGGTGAAGGGGGTCAAAAGATTTTTAAAAAATTAAAAAATCAAGAGCTACAAAAGGCAATGTGGTATTCTGGATTGGATCCTGGAACAGAAAAATGTCATTAGTTAAAAAAAAAAAAAATGAGTTAATCAAGTAGGGTGTTTAGTTACTAGTAATGTACAAAGTTGGTTTCTTAGTTTTGTTATCTGTACTATTAGAAACTGGGTGAGGAATATATGGGAAAAATTAGTAAAAATAGAAATGTAGAAACAAATTTAAAAAAATTTTACACTGAACTTTCGTGTGTCTACCATGAATATCATTTTATTCTGCCTGCGCTATCACAGACCAGCTATTTACCACTCTTTCTACCCACCAGTTTGTCTGCAAAGTAAATTGCAGATACCAGTACACTTTTTTCAGCATGCACTTCATTAACAAGATAGACTTCAGTATGTTTACAGATTTTTCTTTTGTTGTAAGATTTACCTAGAGTATATTTACTGAGTATTGACAAATGCTTATGCGTGTGTAACCCTAACCCCCAATGAGATGACAGAACATTACCATCACCCAGAAAGTTTCCTCATGCCCCAAACCATTCAGTCCTCACCCTGTCCGTGGGCAACCAGTGTTCCTTTTCCAGTGTAGATTACCTTGTTCCAGAACTTAATAGAGATGGAATTATACAGTATGTATTCTTTTGTACAAGGCTCCTTTTACTTACCATGTTTTGTGACTCATTCACATTGCTGTGTGTATTAGTAGTTCATTGCTTTTTATTACTGAGTAGTAATCCATAGTATGAATATACAATCCTTAAAAAAATTTTTTTAATCTTTATTTATTTTTGAGAGAGAGAGAGAGACAGAGTGTGAGCTGGGGAGGAGCAGAGAGAGAGGGAGACACGGAATCTGAAGCAGGCTCCAGGCTCTGAGCTGTCAGCACAGAGCTGACGCAGGGCTTGAACTCACAGACCACAAGATCATGACCTGAGCCAAAGTTGGACGCTCAGCTGACTGAGCCACCCAGGCACCCCTACAATCCTTTTTTAAAAATCCATTTCCTATTGATGCATAACCGTTTCCAGTTTGGGGATAACATGAATAAAGCTGCTGTGAACATCATACTAGTCTTTGGGGACATAGGACGCATCTTCATGTAGTGGAGAGAGAGAGTGAGAACTCTCATATCTTTTATAAGGACCCTGATCTCATTCATGAGGCCTCCACTTTAATGATCCAATTACCTCCCAAAGACCCCACCTCCTAATATTATCACAATGGAGTTAGAGCTTCAACAAATGAAGTTTGGGGCAGACACAAACATTCAGTCTGTAGCAGCCACCATGTGGGTCATTGCCCTGCGGCCAGTGCCCTGTTCTTTTTTTAGTCCCTGGAGTTATTTTCCTTTCCATTGGCCTACCTATGCATTTGAGTGGATATTTGTGTTATGCTATCCAATACACATAGGTCTTTTGCAGCAGGAGGGTTTTAAAATTTTTCTAGTCCTCCATGTTGCCAGAAATGGAAGTCTAAAGGAATACAAATTGTGGTTTTCACAGGAAAAGATGCTCAACATCACTCATCCTCAGGGAAATGCAAATAAAAACCACAATGAGATACCACCTCACACCTGTCAGAATGGCTAAAATTAACAACTCAGGAAACAACATGTTGGCAGGGATGCAGAGAAAGGGGAACCCTTTTGTACTGCTGATGGGAATGCAAACTGGTACAGCCATGCTGGAAAACAGTACAGAGGTTCCTCAAAAAGTTAAAAATAGAACTACCCTATGAGCCAGCAATTGCACTACTAGGTATTTGTCCAGAGGATAAAATACAAATTCGAAGGGGAACACGCATGCATCCCAGTGTTTATAGCAGCACTATCAACAATAGCCTAATTATGGAAAAAGCCCAAATGTCCATCGACTGATGAATGGATAAAGAAGATGTGGTGTATACACACACACACACACACACACACACACACACACACACACACACACACACAATGGTATATTACTTGGCCATCAAAAAGAATGAAATCTTGCCATTTACAACAATATGGATGGAACTAGAGTGTATTATGCTAAGTGAAGTAAGTCCATCAGAAAAAAATATATGATTTCACTCATATGTGGAATTTAAGAAACAAAACAGATGAATATAGGGGAAGGGAAAGAAAAGAAAATAAGATACAGAGAGGGAGGCAAACCATAAGAGACTCTTTTTTCCCCCATATTTTTAATGTTTATTCAGTTTTTGAGAGATAGAGCATGAGTGAGGGGGTGGGTGCAGAAAGAGAGGGAGGCAGAACCAAAGCAGGCTCCAGGCTCTGAGCTGTCAGCACAGAACCTGACTCAGGGCTCGAACCCACGAACCTTGAAATCATGACCTGAGCTGAAGTCAGACGCTTAGCCAACTGAGCCACCCAGGTGCCCCAGGAGACTCTTAAATATAGAGAACAAACTGAGGAGCAGGAGGGTAGGTGGTTGGGGGGGCTGGGCTAAATGGATGATAGGCATTAAAGAGGGCACTTGTTGGGATGAGCACTGGGTGTGTACATATGTTATGTGTAAATTCTGAAACCAATACTACACTATATGTTAACTAACTAGAACTAAAAAAAAAAATAAAATAAAATAAAGCTGGAAAATGAGATCGGTAGAATACCAGTAAGAGCTTTAAATGTGAGGGTGAGAATTCTATGCTTAATTTGGTAGACAGGGTTCAGTTATACAGGGCCACACAAACCTTGTAGGTCTAGAGTTTTTGAATTATATGACTAAATATGAACTCTCATAAGATTAATCTGGCATCCTGTACGTTGGTTGGCTAGGAGAGAAGGACACTTGTTACACGTTTTCTGTAAAAGTCTGGACAAGAGGCAATGAAAGTCTTTATTAGGAGAATGTCTGTGGGCATGGAAAGGAGTGGGTGAATCCAAAAATACTAACTGTCTGACTTGGTAAGTGATTAGTTTTAGGTTGGAAAAATCAAAGAGGTAGCCAAAGGTAGAGTGGAGGAACAGATCACATTTGTACATTAGCTAAAGATTTAACCTTTGTAGATAAAGTTTATTTTAATTTCTGGGTGCTTTTTGGAGTGTTTATCATTTCAGAAAGGGCTCAGCAATGTTTAAAATAAGTTGGGGGTCCATTTAATCCATGTATCTATGCGTATGACCTTGTTCAGTTCAAACATGTTTATCGAGCATCTGTTATATCCTAAGCAGCCTTCAAGGCACTGGGGCTAAAATTCTGAAGGAAAATAGGCATGGTTCCTGCTCCTAAAAGCAATAGTGTTTTGAAATATAATAATAAATTAGTTATTGATTCAATATTAATATAAATATAAAGATGCATATTGTGTAATGAGTGTGTACTTGTTCCAGCTCTGTTCTAAGTGGTGAAAATACAACAATGAGCAAAACAGACAAAAATTTCTACCTTCATGGAAGTTATATTACAGTAGAGGAGACTGACCCCTTGAAAGTAAACATATAAATGAGGTTATTTCAGATAATGATAATTGCTACAAAAGTGGAACTAGGTTAAAAAGTAAATATATATTGACAGAAGGGGCTTACTTTAGGCCAGGAGGCCAGTGATGGACTTTTTGAGGAGAGAGCAAATCATGCAAAATATTCAGGGAAGAGCACTCCAACCAGAGGAAAGAGTAAATGCCAAGGTCCTCAGAAGAGAAAGAACATGGCAAGTTCAAGACACAGAAACAAAGCCAGTGTGGCCAGAGTCGAATAAGCAAGAGGAAGAGAGGTAGGCAGGGGCAGCCTCTTGGAGGATTCTGTAGGTCATGGTAAGGAGTTTGGTCTTACCCTGAGTGTGTGGAGGGTTTTAGAAGTAACACAATTTAGTTTACATTTGTAAAAGGATCCTTCTGGCTGCTGTGCTGAGAGTAGTCTCTAGAGGAATAGGGATAGAATCAGGGAGACCCATTTGGAGGCTACGGATACACGTCTGTCCGTATGTACGTCTCTTGTCTTTTAATGGCAAAACACAATGTTTCTCCCTTTACAAAAAGATAACCTATAATATAAAGACTTTGTCATCACTCATCATTTTTTGTTCCAATATTGGTCAATAAAACAATCTTTTAACGTTTATTTATTTTTGGGACAGAGAGAGACAGAGCATGAACGGGGGAGGGGCAGAGAGAGAGGGAGACACAGAATCGGAAACAGGCTCCAGGCTCTGAGCCATCAGCCCAGAGCCTGACGCGGGGCTCGAACTCACGGACCGCGAGATCGTGACCTGGCTGAAGTCAGACGCTTAACCGACTGCGCCACCCAGGCGCCCCTAAAACAATCTTTTAAAGTAAAAATAAAATGTGGTTTTCTGTGATTCCACCGAACATATGGTAGAATTTCATATGTTTTTTGAATAATGATTTTGTGCACTAAGATGTCCTTTTGTCTTTCTTACAGGGCACATCTCCGAAGAGGGAAAAAGTGGTGCATTTTTGGACATTCTGAGGATTCATAAGGAAACCAGACATGTCCTTGGATGACATTAAGATGAAATCTAGTGACTTTTTGGAGAAGGAGCATCTTGACAGCGGGGGCTTTGGAAAGGTGTCTTTGTGTTTACACAGATCCCATGGACTCGTAATCCTGAAAAAGGTGTACACAGGCCCCAAGTGTACTGAGTGAGTTGGGAACAGAGGTGGGTGGGCCAAATTACAGGCTGGCCATGGGAAGAGTTACCGTGGAGGAGCAGGGCAAGGCAGTGGATATGCCACGGCCCAGGCTTTAGAGTGAGACAGACTGTGGCATATCAGCGTGTGGGCTTTATGTCAGATAACCCTGAAAGCTGGTTATTATTATTCTCCCTGTGCCGCTGATGAGGATTCTGAGGCTGGTTAGCAAAAAGCTTGCAGTAATAAATGATGAAAGACAAAGAGAAGGAAATAAAGAAGGGGAAGGAGATTAAGGGTAATGAGGGAGGCAATGAGAAGAAAATGGGGAGGGGTCCTTGAGATAGACTTAAATACTTCCTTCACCATTTTGGTAAGGACCAGCCCTAAGTCTGGGGGTGGGGGAAGTAGCCTATTAATTAGAAGTTCCAGAAGCCCTCTCTTTAAAGCAGCTGGTGGACTTGTTTTACCTCCCTTTGTTCCTGCCAGAGTGGTTACCAAGAGAGGCTGCCTTTTTTTTTTTTTAATGTTTATTTTTGAGAGAGAGAGAGAGACAGAACGTGAGTGGGGGGGAGACAGAAAGAGAGATGGAGACACAGAATCCGAAGCAGGTTCCAGGCTCTGAGCTATCAGCACGGAGCCTGACGCGGGGCTCTCATGAACCATGAGATCATGACCTGAGCCCAAGTCGGACGCTTAACTGAGCCACCCAGGAGCCCCAAGAGAGGCTGCATTTTTAATTATCCTGTCCAACGCAGCCCTTTTCTCAGGCTGCTTCTCCTGGCTGCTCTTCATTTCCTCTGCATTCATTTGTTATTGACCTACTGTTTCTTGAGCACTCACTGCCTGTAACTGGGAAGGAGGAATATGAAGATGAGCAGGAAACGCCTCTGCCTCTGGAAGCTTGTAGCCTGGACCCAGAAGGGATCAGTACATGCACAAGTACCAACACAAGCCCATGTGATGTGATGCATTGGAGCCATATGCTGTGTTTCTTGGGGGAACAAGGACAAGGGCACTAACTGTGCCCATCTTAACAGCACCTTTCTCTCCCGCAGGTACAACGAGTCCCTCCTTGAGGAGGGCAGGATGATGCACAGGCTGAGACATAATCGGGTGGTGAAGCTCCTGGGTGTCATCTTAGAAGAAGGAAACTACTCTCTGGTGATGGAGTACATGGAAAAGGGCAACCTGATGCACGTTCTGAAAGCGGAGGTAAAGAGGGCTTTGCTGTGCACCGTACGGGCACAGCGGCTCGGGGGCTGCCTGTCTGTGATGGTTATTGCCACTGTGTTCTTTTGTAGCTTGTTGGTGTCAAATAACCCTTGTGTGAGTGGCTAGATACTTTGGATTTTCTGAAGTCAGTCCCCTTGTTAAAGCATCCTGGACTTTCCCTGCCCCAGAAGGTGGTCTTGCCTTCCCGTCAATCCTTGCAGACAGCTGTCTGTACCCCTCACCTGGGGAGGTCCCCCCCACCCATGTCTTAGTCTTATAGTAGGCTTTTGTCAGCCACCCCAGCATCCACTGTTCAGGGACAAGCACTGTCTTCATGATGTGAAGTATATGCCTAATAGGTAACAGTAAACACTGACTGATTGGTTAAAGGATGTACACTCTCAATAACTGTGTGTGGAGATAGAATATTGATGATTGCCCTTTGATACCATTTAAGAAACTTACAGGCTAAATATAGAACACTAGAGGCAACAACACTGGATAAGTAAGACTTAAAATAGGAAAATAAAAATTGATTTATGAAAACCAAATCACGTTGATAAAACATTTTGTAGAGTTTATCTGTTAAAACATTTTTTTTAATGTTTATTTATTTTTGAGAGAGAGAGACACAGAGCACTAGCAGGGGAGGGGCAGAGAGACAGGCAGACACAGAATCTGAAGCAGGCTTCATCCACACTGTCAGCACAGCCTGACATGGGACTCAAACCCACAAGCCATGAGATCATGACCTGAGTCCAAATCCTGTGCTTAACAAACTGAGCCATCCAGGCAACCCATAGAGTTTATTTTTCTAAAGGTATTTCATTTTGTTTTGTTTTTGTTTGTTTTGAGAGAGAGCTCAGGGGAGAAGGGCAGTGGAAGAGGGAGGGAGGGAGGGGGGGGAGAGAGAGAGAGAGAGAGAGAGAGAGAGAGAGAGAGAGAGAGAGAATCCCAAGCAGTCTTCACCCTGAACTTGATCTCACGACCATCAGATCATGACCTGAGGCGAAAACAAGAGTCAGACACTTAACCGACTGAGCCACCCAGGTGCCCTGAGTTTATCTACCTAGTAAGAGCTAGGCCTTGTGCTAGTTAATCAAGAAGCAATAGCAAATATGACACACATAAAAGGGACAGATAAGGAAGTGAACAGTATGGTGCAATTGTGTTTTGATAGACATCCTCCTAGTGTGCTGTGGGAACACAAAGGAGCAGCAGTCACTTTAGCGTGTGATAAATAGGAAGGGATTCCAGAAGGAGGATGCTTGGGCCAAAGCCCAAATGACAAGCAGATAATTAGGGAATAAGTGTTCCAGGCAGAGACAATGGCATGTGCAAAGGAATGAGAGTATGCCATATCTGGGAAACTTACAAGTAACTGGATTTGGCCAAAGCGTAGATTGCATGAGACAGTGGTGGGATGTGGCTTTCTTTAGGGCAGATATTCCCCCTTTTCCTGTCTTCTCCCCCCGACCCTACATCTGCCCAAAATTATGTCTGTTCTTCAATTCTTTTAAGTCCCAGACATCTCTCACAGATACCTGTGGGAAGGGGTAAGAGAGGTTCACCTATACACATTGTGTTGTAATTTGATCAGATTGCTCTTCTCCCCAAAACTAGGTAAGATCAGCTGCTGCATGAAGTAAATAGTCATTTTGATTGGGAGGTAAATCTTTTGGGACAAGGGGGCATTCTCCCGGATCAGGCAAAGATAAGGTAGACTAGTTTGGGCTCCAGAGGGAACTCAAGAGGACATGAGGGAGAAAATCAGGAAGGGGAATGAGAAGGTCTTTCCTTTGCTTGCTCAGAACTTCTTCCTAAGTCCAAAGGTATATCAAGGAAGAAAGGAAAATCTCTGGCTATTTTTTGTATGCTGGTGATCAGGTGACTAATTCATCTCCATTGTGGGTTTTAAATATGATTTGGGGGGTTGACTTGGGAATCTAACTTCCATCATTTAAATTTTTTTCCTGTTTACCAACAACCAACATATATCTAAATTTTTAGGAATCAGCCTAAACAGCCTTGTTTGTAAACTAGAGACTGTGCACATATACACGTACACACACATACAAACAGTTTGCGTTTTTCATTGTTAAGAAAAACTAGTGTTTAGCTGCTATAATAGAAATTGGAGTTGTCTGTATTAATGTTGGTATTTATACAACTAGAATACAGTCGTAAGTAAGAGTGACTTGAGAATTTACAAAGATCTAAAATAGATGATACCAAATCACCAAATAGATATTAAACCCACTTCAGCATTGTTTTAACATCATGTTATCCCATAGATTAGTCTTTACATATTTGTAATAAGTGTGAGCATGTTCTCTTGTATTCTTTTTTTCTCAATGTTCATCTACACATTTCTGTGACACTATTCACCTATTTAATATATAGTAGCACATATTAATGTACTATAGAAAAATACTTGTTTTTTGTTTATTTATTTATCCATCATTCAACAAACATTCCAGGCACCATGCCAGATAGTCAGGATGCATTCTAGAATGATGATGATGATGGTGGTGGTGGTGGTGATGTTTTGCTCTCAAGGAGCTTAATTTTACAGCATTTTAGTATATTGCCATATTGGCATGAAAGTTTTATTTTTACATGACAGAGCACAACATTAGTACCCTTAGCACCTGGGATGAAATCTTTCTTTAAAAGGGGACTTCTTTTAAAATGACAGCAGTGCTGAACAGCATAATAGAAGGAATCCTGGTAACTGCAGATGGTCCCCAACTTATGATAGTTGGACTTACCAATTTTTTGACTTTATGACAGTCAAGAGCAATAGGCATTCATTGGAAATGATACTTTGAGTTTTGAATTTGGAACTTTTCCTGGGCTAGTGACGCACAGTACCAGCCTGTCTTATGATGGTGGGCAGTGGCCATGAGCCGCACCTCCCAGTCAGCTATGTGATCACAGGTAAACAGCCGATATGCTCACAACCATTTGGTTAGTCACACAGCGATTCTGTTTCTCACTTGCCATTTAGTATTCAGTCAGTTACATGAGATGTTCAATGTTTTATTATAAGATGGGCTTTGTGTTCAAGATTTTGCCCAACGAGGGCTAATATAAGTGTTCTTGAGCATTTTTAAGATAGGCTAGGCTAAGCTATGATGTTCACTAGGTTAGTTTAAACACATATTCAATTTAACGATATTTTTAACTTATGATGGGTTTGGGATGTAGCCCCATTATATATCAAGGAAGATCTGTCTGTTCTAAGGTTCAGACCCCAGTACTCTTGAATAAAACAGTCGGTTTGGCCTGTTTGATTACCTTTCCATTTCATAGACTTAACTATCACTGTTTTAGATCAGTATCCCCCTTTCTGTAAAAGGAAGGATAATTATGGAAACCATTGAAGGAATGTGCTACTTACATGGAGAAGGAGTAATACACAAGGACCTAAAGCCTGAAAATATCCTCGTTGATGATGACTTTCACATTAAGGTAAATCATAATCTAAAGGTTTCTAGAAGATTGGGGTGATTTTAGTTTTAATTCTCCACTATAGATCCATTTTTTCACATGGTAGACCTTAAAGGAAGACCTCACTCAGCTTATAACTGGTGGTGGTGGTGCTGGAAGGTTCTGCCAAGGATTGAAAAGAAAGATACGGACTTGATGGAGTCCATATTATTTATTTATTTACTGACTTTAATCTATATTTTGTATCAGTTTGTTTTTTTTTTAATTCTAACTTTTTCCATTGTAGTAAAGGGAACAAAGGGAAAGGATTTTCCTTTTGTTCACTCAAGAGCAAGATTTAACTAGATGGAACATCACGTCTAATTGGCTTTGGCAACAGGAATCCAAGCGCGAGAATCTGAAAGGGGAAGCAGCTTTTGGGGGAGAACTCAGGAACTGCTTATGCAGGCATCCTTCTACTACAAGATTGTGCTTCTAACACTTCCTTCTAATCTTGGACAGATTTTTAATCCTACGACTTTAAAGGAAGGTTCTTTCTTACAATAATAACTTACCTCTAATGTATCTCTTATGTTAGAATCTCTGGATTTTAGATAATCACGTGCTGGAATTCATGCCTATATGCTTGGGTTCCTAGAGGCAAAAGTAAAACTGTCACCTTTGATTTCTTCTTAACCGTGTGGTTCTGTAATTTTATCCGGCCATCTCCCTCTTCATTCTGTGTCTGACCTTTGTATTTTTCTCTTTGCTTTCTTGTCTGTTTTTCTCCTCCTTCCCATCCTGTCATCTCTTAGGTTCAGGCTACCAACTCAAAACAAGTAACACTACCATCCTTTTCCTCAGTGTCTTTGGAATCCTTAGACTCTCGCATCCATGGGCTTTGGAACACCGTTGGGGAAAATTGAAGGTGCAGTACCTACTCACCATCTGCTCTACAAATCTGCTGAGAAGAAAATACCTTGTATTCCTAGCCCCAGAAGTAGTTGAAAAAAATATGCAGAGTAAATGAGGAATTAGAATAAACATGTTTTACTGTAGTTCATGTCAGAAATACTTCTGCTTTTCCTCTTTCCTCCCCCTCCCCCAACCCTACTAGCAAATTCCCTGGGTTTATTGCATAAGAATTGAGATACCAGAATTTCACATGAACATTTCTTAGGGGAGATTTTCTTAGATGGCTGAAGAGACACAAAATTTCTGTGAGTCTGTTCAGAAGTAGCTGTTTTAAACCTATCTAGTGTAACCACTTCAGGAAATTCACTATACCTTGCATCTATTAGATAAACCCCAGAGTTAAAGACAAGTCTGATTTGCTTATAGCTTTCACAGAACACTCCCATTGGCTTGATCTCTTGCAGATAGCTGATCTTGGCGTGGCTTCCTTTAAGACGTGGAGTAAACTGACTAAAGAAGAAAATAATGAGCAGAGAAAAATGAATAATAGCGCCCCTAAGAAAAATGGTGGAACCCTCTGCTACATGGCCCCTGAGCATCTGAATGACATCAACGCAAAACCCTCAGAGAAGTCAGATGTATACAGCTTTGGCATAGTACTTTGGGCAATATTTGCGAATAAGGAGCCATATGAAAGTAAGATGTTTATAGAGGAGTAGAATCTATGTGTTAATCAAAACTGTTGAGTGAAATAGTGGCCTTCAATGACATCAGTTAAGATTTATAACGTCTTTTTACCTACTAGACCATAAGCTACACCAGGGCTGGGACGGTATCTGACTGAGTCAGTGCTATTTCCCCAGTCTCTACACACAGTGCCTGGAACACAGTTGGTGTTCAGTACATTTGTGGTGAATGAATGATTAATCTCAGTTTAGGAATCAGGGATCACAGGACAAATAGGAGCCTTGATGATGTATCTGAGCTTGGGAGGTATTGTAGAATTCCAGGATTTTTCCTGGACAGGAAAGCTTGCTTGCTTCTGCTTAGGAGACATAGGCCTCATACTTTCATTCATTCGCTTGCTCCTTCACTCAAGAATTACTTCTTTTCGGGGCACCTGGGTGGCCCAGTTGGTTAAGCTTCTTACTCTGGAGGTTCTACATCTCAGGTCATGATCTCATGATTCGTGAGATCCAGCCCTGTGTTGGGGCTCTGTGCTGTTAGGGATCCCTGATTGGGATTCTCTCTATCCCTTCTCTCTCTGCCCCTCCCCTGTGTGCACTCACACTCTAAATAAATAAATAGACAAATAAACAAATAGATAAGAATTATATCTTTTCAGTAATTACTATGGGCACTTTAATTGGAATTAAGAATAAAAAGATGAGAAAGACATGATTCATGCAGGAGAAGATACAGTACTCATTCCTCAGTTTGTTAAGTGCCTAAATTACTGGACATTTCCTGGTCCCTTTTTCTTGGGTGATTATTGGCTCCTCTGGTTTAATGATCACTACTTTGCCAAGGCCTCTCAAATCTCTTATCTAGAGCCCTGGCCTGGATATCCACTTATCTGTTGTATCTATTACGCATACCAGAGGAACCCCAAAGCAACATGCCCTCAAACAGATTCATCTACATGTTCTCCGTGTAGTCCACTTGGCTCTGCTCTTCTCATGTTCAGAAAATGGCATCACCCTCTCTCCTCCCACCCCCTGTACCCTACCTAGTTGTTGGGCCAGAAGCATTTCACGTCTTAGCTTTGCCTCTTGTCTCCCACATGCGATCACACATTTAAACCTATGAACTCAAGATTATATGTGATTCAGGCTACATCTTGAATCCATCCACTTCTCTCTATCCCCACCAGACTCTATGCAGTTCAGACCCTCCGTATTTCTGCTGATGGCTACTCATGCCATCCCCCATTCACACTTCAGCCACGCTGGTTGTCCTAAAAGGCAAGTATGACCATCTCACTCATATTTTTGAAATCTTTCCAAGGCTCACTGGGCCTTCAGGATAAAGTTCAAATTCTTCAGTATGGAATACAAAGCCCTCTCTGATTTAGCTTTTCCATCTTTCTCTAGCCTCATTCCTTACCTGTCTTTCTTTAGTCATTTTGCCCAGTTATGGTGAGCTACTCATAATTCCTGGGCTACATTATGATTTGGGGGACTTCCAGTCTATTCATATCCTGCTTCCCTAGCCCAGAATCCTCCTCTCTGAGTCCTTCCTGATTCTTTACATGGATAAATCCCACTTAGGTTTCTAGACCCAGCAAATCCTTCTCTGACCCTCTAGTCATGGTTGTGTTAGCAGAAACCTTTGTGCTTACTTTTTATTTTTTTTTTATTTT